AAATCTTTAATCCATTAATTAAATCCATCAAAGATCTAAAATCTGTGAAAAAAGTGAAGAAGCCATCGGCTGCTTAATCAGTAACAGATTCACCAGCCGCGCCGGGCTGCAGCTGGGCGGCAGTGTGCAGCTCCTCTAACAAAGCAGAGGCCTCGGAGCGTCCGGTCCGTTCAGGGCGTCCCGTGGCGTGAGCGGATCGGGTCAGAGCGGCGTTCAGAACTCTCTGTTCCTAAACTGAAAAGCTGCAGCTGGAGAGCAGCAGTCAGAACAAACCCAGAGGTGTCAGCAGTCCGCCATCTTCAGGATCACCATGTTTGTTTTCTTCCTGACTGTTTGTTCAGGCAGAGCGACGGACGCTGCCTTTATTTCAGGCCTCATCAGCTCTGAGTTCACAGAGCATCAGAAACCTGTTTCCCTTTCAGGGACACGTCAGGACGTCCGGTCCCTGACAGACAGACGTCAGTCAGAGCATCGACCGCCGGCGGCGGGAGGCCGACCGCCTCCAGTGAACCGGCGGGAGGCCGACCGCCTCCTGCTCACATCTGAGGCACTGGGCTTCAAGCAGGACTAATGACATCATCAGCTGCAGTCAGAGATGCTCCAACCAGGAGGAAGAGATAGTTCAATTACTACTGCGGCAGGAGCAGGGGGGCGGCCAGCGGTGGCGGCCAGCGGTGGCGGCCAGCGGTGGCGGCCAGCCGCAGCACAGCTTTCATGGATCTACCAGAAGAGTCCTTCCAGCTCAGAGGATCTAACTTCCCTTCCACCTAAAAACAGCCTTAAATAGCAGCAAAGTTCTGCAGATCCTGAAGGAACCTGGAGCTTCACCATCATGAAGCTTTAAAGACCAGAAGATCAGAAAGTCCTTCAAACGTCTCCAAGAAGGACGGAGCAGACGGGACCTCCTCAGGAAGCTCTGGTCCTTCAGATGCTGCAGATCTTCAACCAGTCTGATGATCAGAGTGTGACCTCCTCCTCCTCCATCCTCATCTCCATCATCATCATCATCATCTTCATCATCCTCATCATCGCTAATGACTGAAAGAAGCTGATAACGAAGGCAGCGCTGGTTAAAGATGGCCTCCCATGGTGTTTATTCTGATCACATTTGAACCCAGTTAAGGATCCGGTTCTGGTTCTGGGTTGGATGGATCGGCTCTGATGTTCCTCATCATGGTTCTGGTTCTGACACGTAGATCCATGCAGCTTAGATCAGCACATCTTTAGTCCCTGGTTCATCATCACTTCTATCTAATGTTCTGATCTCAGCAGAAACTCATTTATCTGAGATGTTGAAGGTAAACTCAGCTCAGGACATGAAATCTCCCTCAGCTGATAACCAGCGGAACATCCTGTGATGTGTCAACAGTGAGGTCATCGCCGCAGACCGCCGCCTCAAGGTCACCTCCTCTTTACTCTGAGACCATTTAGAAACGGAGCCAACAGCTGGAGAACAGCTGTAGCTGAGGAACGTCAGCTACGCGTTCCCCGGCGTCAGCGTCGCCTTCCCCGGCGTCAGCGTCGCGTTCCCCGGCATCAGCGTCGCGTTCCCCGGCGTCAGCGTCGCGTTCCCCGGCGTCAGCGTCGCGTTCCCCGGCGTCAGCGTCGCGTTCCCCGGCTACGCGTTCCCCGCCGCCACCGCCTTGTTAGCCGCTTGGTGACGAGTTTTACAGTAAAGCAGTTTCCTTCTTTTTGAAACAGACGTGCAGCAGCAGGACGGACTTTAACAACAGGACCAAGAGTCCCCACAGCATGATGCTGCCACCACCATGCTTCCCTGCTTCATAAAATTGAAAACCAGTGAAAATGTTTAAAAAAAAACAAGCAGATCTTTCATCTCCACCGTTGCCCCAAAGCATTCTGGGTAAACTGGATAGAGGAAAGAAGAAGCTGTGCATGCTCTCCATGGCGCTCTGCCAGCTTCAGTTCCTTTCTAGGATCCATGTTTGCTGAAAGGTTAGAGGTCACGGAGGTCGTCTGGCGATAATTAAGGTGCACGCCTTCTCTCATCCAGACTCTTTTTTCTCCTGAATTAATCATCAGAGCTGAACGCTCTCATGGTGGACGCCATCATGGCTTCCTGCTGGTTGACCTCAACTCTCCTTCCAGCCAATCAATCTGGGCTGTTTGTGCAGAAAGCAAACAGTGTTGCATAAAAATGAACAACAGCAATTAGTTGCAACAAAGGAGCAGTCTAGTTGATGTTTATCTGCGGCGGCCCCACGCTGAGCAAACACCTCAGAGGAGGAATGAAGGAGCGTTTAGCTCTGAGCTACGAGGATCAGGCGGGAAATTTCCACCATTTCTCCAAACAGGACGACTCGCCTCACAGCGAAAGGAGGGAGAAGTTCCTCCAGGTAGGAACCACGACCAGGAAGTTCTGCCCGACCCGCCGGACCGACACTTCCCACATTCATCTGATCCACAAACTTCTGTTCTGTGATCAGGCCCGGTTCGGATCGGGTCAGAACCAGATCACAGCTAGAGTCGGTTCTGTGCGGATCTATTTATAGAATGACAACGGACCGGAACCGCGGTCCAGTTCTGGTTCCTTCTTCTCTTTAGAGCAGCTGGTTCTGATGAAGGGTTCAGATCATCTGATGGTTTCCTGAAGACGCGACGGCGTTGGGGTCCTGGAGGCCTTCAGCGTTTGGCCGTAAACATCCGGAGACGTTGAAGGTTATGAATGTTCAGACATGCGGGAACAGAAACGGCTGCAGGTGCAACGGCTGCAGGTGCAACGGCTGCAGGTGCAACGGCTGCAGGTGCAACGGCGGCGCCTGCATGCCTTCAGGAAACAGGGAAACGCCACCAGCAGCATTTATCATGCAGGAAGGTTTTCTATGAACTGATCTTTTATTTATAATAAAATCACTTCAGCTGAACTAATCTTCTGTAGCGCTTGTTGAATAAACAGACATTCATGGACTTCCAACCGAAGAGGCGGAGCTTCGTAAACAGAGCGTCTGTTTATGAGCAGCGGGACATTTATCCAATCACTGCTTCCCTTCAGACACAGATCAGTGTTTTGATTGATAAAGAAACAATCAGTGAAATGATAAAACGCCACCTTTGCTCACAGGAGGAATAAATCTAATATTGCTCATAAAACTGCCTCCATGTTGCAGCAGGAGTCAAGTTAACCCCCCCCCCCCCCCCACGGCTGAACCACAGTGGCCCCTTTGAGCATCCGCTGCCCACAACAGAACCCACATAGCCATCACTGCCAACCCCAGACAAAGGCTCCATGTTACTACAGCCCACAGTTAGAGACGGGGGGGGGGGGGCTGATGGTGAACCGGGTCACGCTCATTCAGACCTCATTTAGTTTATTTCAGCGTTCTGCAGCCTGATGAGCAGATATTTATTTTTCTCCCCTCTTAGCGCCGGAGGGCCAAACACGAGACCCTCCAGGGTGACGGACTGTCCGCTGCTGAATCAGCAGGACGCACGTTGCGTAATCTCTCACACCCAGAGGGGGGGGGGGGACTCTTTCCTTTGACAAAGAAACTTTTTCAGATGGAGGAAACAAAGGCCTGAAGCAGAGCAGAGCTTCATGTAAGCCTCCGTTCCACTGAACTGGTCCCAGTAAAACCAGTGAGGGAGATTCTTTCAGCCCAGCAGAATGTTTCTAGTTGAAGTCCATCCACACAAAGTGAGGAAGACGCTCCAAAACTACTCACTGATGAAGAAGTCTCCTCTTACACAACTCTAAGATAATAAAGATGGCCGCCATCGCCGGTTCCAGCAGTGACAGTAGACAGAGGAACGCCGCAGACAGTCAGAGATAACGCCGTGAGACCTTCAGGTCACCGTAGACCACCCTGGGCTGTGGAGATCTACAAATGCAACATCTCTACCAGGACCAACTGTTCTAGTCCACACAGATCTACAACTCAGGTGTAATCAGAGCAGCGCACAGGAAGCATCACAGGTGTGACTGCAGCAAGCTAACGAGGGCCGCCATCACGCTGGGAGAAGGTTCAGAGCTGGCGATGGGAGGAGGGGCGGAGCCAAACCCTGAGCAGACCAGGAGGAAACCATCAGGACCTTAGGAGCATAGATTCACCTTCAAACAGGAGCGTTAGCATTAGCTTAGCTTACTGTTATACATGTTTGGTCTAGTCAAAGTTCAAACCCGGCTTCTGCTGGTTTAACGTGGAACTTCTAGCATAAAGCCTCCATCTGAGGATGTAGAGCTAGTTTACAGAGAGGAAAGGAACCTAGATGTACAGCCAATAGAGCTGCAACTGAACACAGAGCTGTGAAGTCATTTAACTGAAATCAAACAGCAATAAAGTTTAAAGACAACAGGATTGTTTTCAGAGAACCAGCAGGTCAAAGTCCAACCCCCCCCCCCCATAAACATGCAGAAAGGACATGCCCCCCCCCCTTCCTGTCCACCTGAGCAGCATGAATGGAGCCGATTATTCTGCTGAATAATGAATCTAAAATCTTTCTGCATTCAGTGATTCAGGAAAATAGATCCACACCCAGCAGAATAATCTGAGATTAATAATCTGACTCTTTGATTGTTCTTGTTCCAGAACACAAGCAGCAGCTTATCAGCTGCAGAGACTTAGTGGCTCAATAAAGTTTAGGGCTCCTAAAAATAAAAACTATGAAGTTAAATTAGATCAGCTGGTGATCAGGGCCATAGATCTATAGATTAGAGTGATTGGAAGGAGGCCATCCGGCCAACCTTTCAGCTCTCTGGAATATAGATCTTTGTTAGATAGATCTGCTGGATTATCTGTCAGCTGAATGACTGAGGATGAAATGGAAACTTCCCAACTTGCTCCAGTGAAACATCTGGATCCAGATGTTCTCCCATTAAACCCAGTAAACCGAACCGAACCGAAGCAGGTTAAAGGACTGGATGAGTGGAGTCCGAACCAGAACCTGGATGGACCGGCTGCTCTGTGATCCACATTAAGCCGCCCGGGCTGGTCCGGTCCGGTCCGGCCCGGTTCGGCCCGGTCCGCAGCGGACTCACTCACCAGGGTTTGTTCGTACTGCAGCGCGCGCTGCTCCGAGCTGCTGCCCGCCATGGCTGCGCTCTTTCCGGGGTGGCGGTGAGATGAAAGGCGGTCAGTGACGTGTGTCCACGCGCGGCTCAGCCTCCGGTACCGACCAGCAGCTCGCTCCCCGCTGTGCTGCCGGTCCAAAGCTCCTGCCGTTCATTTTATACTTCAGCCAAACTTCCTTCTGCCCAAAGGGGCGGGGCTTCAGCGAGTCCAGACTCCTCCCACTCAGAGCCACGGAGAACACGCTGCGTGGGTCCCTCACAGGAAGAGAGAGGTGGACCGGGACAGATCCGGCTCCCGGGGAAAAGACTCACAGGATACATCAGGGGGTCCAGATCTATTCAGTTTATTTCTATAGATTCTCATCATGTCATCTCAGGTGACTTTATAGATCCAGATCAACCAGATCATCCAGTCAGATTGATTCAAAGTTTTCTATCTAAGGAAAACCAGCTGATTGCATCGACTCATTGACTCTTCAGCAATCCCTCACACTAAGCATGCTTGTAGCGACAGTGGAGAGGAAAAACTCCCTTTGAACAGGAAGAAACCTCCAGCAGAACCAGGCTCAGTGTGAGCGGCCATCTGCTGAGGCCCACTGGGGTTCAAGGAGAGGAAGCAGCAGAGGCGTAACCAGAACATTTTTCTAAGGGCGGGGAGTCAGTAACCGCTGCAGACTGAGGCGCGGCTAAAAGCACCAGAACCTCAGAGGTTAATTTCTACTGTTCCAACAGGAACGAGCAACAACCTCCATATTTAATAAAAACTAACTCTACTCGCTAACAAATAGACGCATATATTTAAACGAGTATTTAAACATCCACGGCGTCTAAAGAAAACGTGTAGTGGACAACATTTCTGGAGCGAAAATCTTTTCCATTGTCTTTACTTACCTACTTTTTAAAAAACTGTTCTGCATAAAAATTATATTTAAATGTTCTAATATCTACATTAAATGGATTTTTAAGTTATTGTTTATCTATGATTTCACTGAAGACTCCTCGATGACTGCAGAGACATCATGTTCTCTTTACCCCAAATAACACACATTTAGTGCTGAAAAGAGCAGGAATTCTGTATATATCAACTTTAAAGGAATAGTACACACAAAACATGATTAGCCTTCATTTTCTACTCCCCCCCATGCTGAACAACACTCTGGAGTACTTTTTTGATATCTCAAATGCATCTGGAGATCTGGGAGGCTTCTTGCTGTCTGCTGACATTCAAATAATGGAGGTCTATGGCGCCCGAGGCAGAAAGGTCCATAAAAGTCCACAAAAAACGTGTCAATATTCCTCCATACTGCTCGTCCAATGTATTCCAAGTGTCCTGAGTGGGTAGCATCCAGAATTTACTCGAAACGAAGTCATTTAGAATGTTTTTAGAGCATAAACAGTAGTGTATAGGATTTCCTGAAAGCGCGTTCACGAGTCTACGGAAACCGCGGCAGACCAAACCAGATGAAAGTGCGCATTCAGCTCGGCAAAGAACTCATGCTCTTCCTCAACACTGAAGTCCTCAGACATTTTTCTTTCGTTGTTTCTTTCTTTGCACAGGTAAACAGCACATTTCTTCTTCTACGCTTGCATTATCGGCAGAGCAGACGCTGAATGCGCCAAGCTCCAACATCTAGAAACAAAGGTGTTGATCCAGGTAGTCCATCTCTCTGTGTGTGCTGTACGTTAACACCCACCAGTTAGTAACTCAGTTACTTTTTGGGAGAAGTAACTAGTAACTATACCTAAAAACTGCCCAACACTGCTGACCAGAAGATATTATTTCTTTATTTTTTGGACCCGTCATGGTTTATGAAACAGATTATTGTTTATTTCTTATCAGTGAGATTTTATTCTGCTCTAGACCTTCTGTGGATCTCTTGTTTTTCAAAAACGTTGCGTCTATTAAGTCTCGCCTCCAGTCTTCTTTTCTTCTGGGACTGAAACCAATAATCTGTCTGATGTCTGATCATCCAGGTGAAGGTCACCTTCCCAGATCTCTCCACAGTTCTACCATCAGCCGCCCTGATCAAGGCTCCGCCTCCACTCAGCTCACCTGCCTGCCACCCTCTGCTGTAACATCAGCAGACCATCAGACACCAAACCAGCACCTGTCAGCCTGAGCGCTGCAGTAATCTGACCGACCCCCCCTACCTGCTCCTGGCGCCATCCTGAACCTGCCGATCAAAGCGCCGATCAAAGCGTCTCTACCTGCAGAGACAAACTCCACCTGGGCTGCTGCCTTTCTGCACGCTGGACTGGTCCAGCAGAGGACCTGCTGGGTCCGTCCTCTGCAGACTCGTTGGACCTGCTGGGTCCGTCCTCTGCAGACTCGTTGGACCTGCTGAGTCCGTCCTCTGCAGACTCGTTGGACCTGCTGGGTCCGTCCTCTGCAGACTCGTTGGACCTGCTGGGTCCGTCCTCCGCAGACTCATGGACCTGCTGGGTCCGTCCTCTGCAGACTCGGTGGACCTGCTGGGTCCGTCCTCTGCAGACTCGTTGGACCTGCTGGGTCCGTCCTCTGCAGACTCGTTGGACCTGCTGGGTCCGTCCTCTGCAGACTCGGTGGACCTGCTGGGTCCGTTGGACCTGCTGGGTCCGTCCTCTGCAGACTCGGTGGACCTGCTGGGTCCGTCCTCTGCAGACTCGTTGGACCTGCTGGGTCCATCCTCTGCAGACTCGTTGGACCTGCTGGGTCCGTCCTCTGCAGACTCGTTGGACCTGCTGGGTCCGTCCTCTGCAGACTCGGTGGACCTGCTGGGTCCGTCCTCTGCAGACTCGTTGGACCTGCTGGGTCCGTCCTCTGCAGACTCGGTGGACCTGCTGGGTCCGTCCTCTGCAGACTCGTTGGACCTGCTGGGTCCATCCTCTGCAGACTCGTTGGACCTGCTGGGTCCGTTGGACCTGCTGGGTCCGTCCTCTGCAGACTCGGTGGACCTGCTGGGTCCGTCCTCTGCAGACTCGTTGGACCTGCTGGGTCCGTCCTCTGCAGACTCGGTGGACCTGCTGGGTCCGTCCTCCGCAGACTCATGGACCTGCTGGGTCCGTCCTCTGCAGACTCGTTGGACCTGCTGGGTCCGTCCTCTGCAGACTCGTTGTACCTGCTGGGTCCGTCCTCTGCAGACTCGGTGGACCTGCTGGGTCCATCCTCTGCAGACTCGGTGGACCTGTTGGGTCCGTCCTCCGCAGACTCATGGACCTGCTGGGTCTGTCCTCTGCAGACTCGGTGGACCTGCTGGGTCCGTCCTCTGCAGACTCGTTGGACCTGCTGGGTCCGTCCTCTGCAGACTTGTGGACCTGCTGGGTCCGTCCTCCGCAGACTCGGTGGACCTGCTGGGTGCTGGGTCCGTCCTCCGCAGACTCGGTGGACCTGCTGGGTCCGTCCTCCGCAGACTCATGGACCTGCTGGGTCCGTCCTCCGCAGACTCATGGACCTGCTGGGTCCGTCCTCTGCAGACTCGGTGGACCTGCTGGGTCCGTCCTCTGCAGACTCGGCGGACCTGCTGGGTCCGTCCTCCGCAGACTCATGGACCTGCTGGGTCCGTCCTCTGCAGACTCGTTGGACCTGCTGAGTCCGTCCTCTGCAGACTCGTTGGACCTGCTGAGTCCGTCCTCTGCAGACTCGTTGGACCTGCTGGGTCCGTCCTCCGCAGACTCATGGACCTGCTGGGTCTGTCCTCTGCAGACTCGGTGGACCTGCTGGGTCCGTCCTCCGCAGACTCATGGACCTGCTGGGTCTGTCCTCTGCAGACTCGGTGGACCTGCTGGGTCCGTCCTCTGCAGACTCGTTGGACCTGCTGGGTCCGTCCTCTGCAGACTCGGTGGACCTGTTGGGTCCGTCCTCCGCAGACTCATGGACCTGCTGGGTCTGTCCTCTGCAGACTCGGTGGACCTGCTGGGTCCGTCCTCTGCAGACTCGTTGGACCTGCTGGGTCCGTCCTCTGCAGACTTGTGGACCTGCTGGGTCCGTCCTCCGCAGACTCGGTGGACCTGCTGGGTGCTGGGTCCGTCCTCCGCAGACTCGGTGGACCTGCTGGGTCCGTCCTCCGCAGACTCATGGACCTGCTGGGTCCGTCCTCCGCAGACTCATGGACCTGCTGGGTCCGTCCTCTGCAGACTCGGTGGACCTGCTGGGTCCGTCCTCTGCAGACTCGGCGGACCTGCTGGGTCCGTCCTCCGCAGACTCATGGACCTGCTGGGTCCGTCCTCTGCAGACTCGTTGGACCTGCTGAGTCCGTCCTCTGCAGACTCGTTGGACCTGCTGAGTCCGTCCTCTGCAGACTCGTTGGACCTGCTGGGTCCGTCCTCCGCAGACTCGGTGGACCTGCTGGGTCCGTCCTCCGCAGACTCGGTGGACCTGCTGGGTCCGTCCTCTGTAGACTCGGTGGACCTGCTGGGTCCGTCCTCCGCAGACTTGGTGGACCTGCTGGGTCCGTCCTCTGCAGACTCGGTGGACCTGCTGGGTCCGTCCTCCGCAGACTCGGTGGAACTGCTGGGTCCGTCCTCCGCAGACTCGTTGGACCTGCTGGGTCCGTCCTCTGCAGACTCGTTGGACCTGCTGGGTCCGTCCTCTGCAGACTCGTTGGACCTGCTGGGTCCGTCCTCTGCAGACTCGGTGGACCTGCTGGGTCCGTCCTCTGCAGACTCGGTGGACCTGTTGGGTCCGTCCTCCGCAGACTCATGGACCTGCTGGGTCTGTCCTCTGCAGACTCGGTGGACCTGCTGGGTCCGTCCTCTGCAGACTCGGTGGAACTGCTGGGTCCGTCCTCTGCAGACTCGGTGGACCTGTTGGGTCCGTCCTCCGCAGACTCATGGACCTGCTGGGTCTGTCCTCTGCAGACTCGGTGGACCTGCTGGGTCCGTCCTCCGCAGACTCATGGACCTGCTGGGTCTGTCCTCTGCAGACTCGGTGGACCTGCTGGGTCCGTCCTCTGCAGACTCGGTGGACCTGCTGGGTCCGTCCTCTGCAGACTCGGTGGACCTGCTGGGTCCGTCCTCTGCAGACTCGTTGGACCTGCTGGGTCCGTCCTCTGCAGACTTGTGGACCTGCTGGGTCCGTCCTCCGCAGACTCGGTGGACCTGCTGGGTCCGTCCTCCGCAGACTCATGGACCTGCTGGGTCCGTCCTCCGCAGACTCATGGACCTGCTGGGTCCGTCCTCCGCAGACTCATGGACCTGCTGGGTCCGTCCTCTGCAGACTCGGTGG